GGGCAGCCATGGAGAAACATCCACTCGCACTGTGAAGACTGGTCCCACTGCACTCTAACTGCAAAAGCTCTTGTAGAAGAGGGGAACATTCCAGGTGAAGGCTATTAGTGTATTCAAAGATTTCTTGAGACATTTTCCCCACCCGCTCTCTGTTCCATTTAACTATTGACTCCCTGCTGGCTGTATGCTTCTGGAATAGGCGCTCTCTATACCAATTATGGCAGCTAAGCATGAAGCAAGTAGTCCACTCTCATTTATAGCCGCAGTGTTTTAACTTGAAACAACTACTTTCAAAATAGGCATGTGTAAGTATTAAGCAAATTATACCCAAACCACAAACCACTTCTCTTGGAAACCATCTAAAATTTTTTCCCACCTTACTGCAGGTGAAAATCCTGATGGTAAGAATTATTCCAAGAACGTAGGACTATATGTTCATTTATGTAAGAAGCCAAGTTTAATGATCATAAAAATATAAGGAGTTAAATATATTTTAAAGAAATAAGAAAGGAACAACTTATTTATTTGAGTTCCTTAAATGATAGACAATCTTTTATATACCTTTGTGTCCCTTGCATTTGTTTATGGTGGGTGTTATTAATAAATATTTTTTAAGTGGCAAATTTCCTGAATATAAAAAGAAGCATTAGAATTGGAAAGGGATCTCGACTAACCCTCAACTAAAGGGGATAGGATTGGAAACAATCAATCACAGTCTATGAAGTTAATATGAATAATACAGAATGAGAGAATTATTTATGTGGATGTATTTTCTAAGAGGTTGAGAAAAAATGGGAAATGAGCCAATAGAATTACCAGAACATATCTCTGCAAAGTGATAATACCAATTTTTCCACTATCTTAACTAAAATTAACTTCTTTGGAACTGATTTATCAGGTTACATATGGAGTTAGAATATGTAAGACTATATGAGAATATGAAGTAACTAAATAGGTCAGCAGAATGACCCGAGGGACTATTTACTCTAACCTAAAGAAGTCAAAGAGTAGTATACATCAAAACTCTTAGTTTAGACAAAAACAAACAAAACAGCTAACTTAAACTGTTTTAAAAGGAGAAGGCACTGGGAGTTTGTGACATGCGACTAAATGTTTAATATGGCAACAAAGAGAAATATCAACCAAAGAAAGAAAATTGACCGGAATAATAAAAGTGGAAATCAACTTTTTTTTTTTAAGTAACCACCTGTATCTGGTGCTATTCTAATTACTTTCTCATCTAATTTCATCTTCCCACTTCTGCCAGGCAGGTATAGGCCCATGGTCGGCAAACTGCGGCTCGCGAGCCACATGCGGCTCTTTGGCCCTTGAATGTGGCTCTTCCTAAGCCTTAGGAGTACCCTAATTAAGTTAATAACAATGTAACTACCTATATAGTTTAAGTTTAAAAAATTTGGCTCTCAAAAGAAATTTCAATCATTGTACTGTTGATATTTGGCTCTGTTGACTAATGAGTTTGCCGATCACTGGATAGGCAGTGTAATCCCATTGTACAGAGGAAGCTAGAGAATTTTGCCCAAGATGACCCATCCAAAAAGTGGCAGAACCGGGATTCAAAGATAGGACTTTGACTCTGAGGCCCATGATCCATGTCAACATTAAACCACTCCCTTTAGGGATCCTAATGGAAACTAAGAAAGTAAGAGATTTAGAGAGCATGAGGAGAAGTGCCTTTGACTGTGAAAAGTTCGGGGTCAGCTTCTACTAAATGCACAAGAAAAGCCTGGCTGCACATAGAAGGTGAAATGGTCCACCCCCTAAAACAAGGGACTGAGCATTTCTCTTTTAAAAGCATATTTGTATTGATTTCAGAGAAGAAGGGAGAGAGAGATAGAAACATCAATGATGGGAGAGAATTATTGATTGGCTGCCTCCTGCACGCCACACACTGGGAATTGAGCCTGCAACCTGGGCATGTGCCCTGACTGGGAATTGAACTGTGACCTCCTGGTTCATAGGTCGATGCTCAACCACTGAGCCATGTGGGGTGGGCCTGAGCATTTCTTTAAAAGAAGAGAAGGAAGGCATTAGAGGCAGAGGCCACTGACATTGCAACACACTGTTTACAAGATTTTTGCAAAAATTCTGCTGCAACAGCTGACAAGAACAGCTAAAGGCATGAATCTGGCAGTCTGCCATGGAAAGGCGGGAAAGAGCTGACAGTTTGATGAACTTAAGAGAAGTCACAAAGAGGGGTGCAAAAGAAATTTACTAGGTTTTGAGCAGGGTAAAAGCTTTTTGCTCAGACAACACCAATCATGTATACACAGACTAGACAATAATACAAAGCAGTTTAAGATCAAGGAACATAGGAAATATTACTTGTAATACAAACTATAAGAAATATAGAAAAATCATAGATTAGTGCCAGATACCATGTGTGCCTTTTATCTTAATTCTTTAAAAAGAAAAATCCCAGATCTTAGCTTGGGAAAGTATTTTTAATTATAATTCAATGAAACAAACAAAAACCAGTGAGGTTTCATTGAGTAATTGAGAAAATATTGACTAGAAGTCTAGAGATTTAACAGAATGCAGGGTTTGGAAAAGTAGGTTTACAGCTGTGAATATGTGAAACACAGTTTATTCTTGTATTATTATTTATTAATTATTGTATTATTTTCCATATGAACTATAAACCTACTTTTACCCCACCCTGTATTTCTAAACAAATATCTTAGCATTGCTATAATTTAATTTCCTCACTCATAAGCAGGGTGTAATAATACTTTGAGACTCAGAAGATCTTTGTGAACATTAAATGCAATGATGTTTGTGAAAATTGTCAGTATTATTCAATCTTTATCATCATCATTATTATTCCAGCTCTAGTCCTACTTAAGCTGTGTGACCTTAAATGGAAGAGGGGAGATGGGGAGGTTAGACCAGATGATCCCTTTAAACTCTCTGTCTATGCTTATATAAATCATTATTTCCTCTTCAAAAATACATAAGTATACTTTGTGATAGATAAGCAATTAAAATGCATAAGAACATACCACCCCCATACCCAGTGGGTAGAGAGAAAGAGAAATTAAACTGACAAGGAGAGAGCAAAACTGCGCATCCAATCCCATACATTGTGTGTAGCATGCACTTAGTTGATTTACCAGTTGTAAGAAAACACTTGTAAAATTTAAAAGCAGTATAGTAAAATTTTGAAAATAAAGATTAATATGTAGGCAGAGCCCCATCACATCCCATTAAAAGGTCAAATGCCAATAACAGAATCACATAGCAATGCCACTTTTCCATTTATTTGGTCAACTCCTAATGATTCTACAAAGCTCCATCCAGAAGTCTATCACCTCCCTTTCCCAAATTGCTCATCAAGCACTGGGTGTATCGTAGGCTTACCAGTCATTTATCCTTGGTTATTTTTCACATCTACCTACCCCCTACATTGCTAGATACTTAAGAATTAGAATAATGTCTTATCCAACTTTATAGCCAGGCAAATCACAGGGTCTAAACCATAAAATGTGTTCAATAATGCTAGTTTGTAAATTGAGTTAATTAATTGAATATTGAAAATGCAAAGTGCATCATAGAAGCTAGTTCATAGGTCAACAGAAAAGACTTCTGACTTTAAATAGCATCTGACACAGTCTCCCTAAAATTTCTTTCAAAATAGCCATGAATATGGAGGATTAAAATATCCCACTCTGAAAAGTAAGACATTTTCATTAGCCATGATACTAACGGAACTGTGCTGAAGACTGCAATCGGTAAACCCTTGTGTTATGCTGCCTGAATAGAAAGACTGACCACCTGGAAAAAGGTACAAAGGTACATTTCTCCCAAACTGTCTGGTTCCTTGGAATAAGAATACAAGATCTGTCCCAACCCAGAACCAGATAACTGACCTTTTTTGACTAGCTGCTGCTTTTTAAGGCTGTCAAAATATTATTTCCCACTGCCCCCCCTCCCCTGCAACTTATAAAGATTCAACTTATGAATTATAGGTAAAAGAAACTAAAGCAGGTGGAATAGAAATTACAATCAATGACATAATTGGAAGTCACAAATTGGAAAAATGTCTTAAATATACAGATTTAAGGAGCCCACATGTTTCAGAGGAATATACATATATGTATCAAATCCACAACTAAGTGCATTCTTGGAAGAGATTTTAATATAAATGTGAAGAAAATATTCTTCAAGAATCCAGACAGGAATAGTAAGTTGCATTTAAAGAGGGAAATATCATACTGGTCTTAGACTTCTTCTTTGTATTATTAGATGTTGGAAGAAAATGAAACAGAATTTTGTGGAGAACATTGCAATCCAAAATTTTATACCCAGTTTTTATGACTCTTTTACTTGCAAGTGAGAGGAAGCCTAGTTCAACCTAGCTTAAGGAGTAAATAAATGAATCCATTGGCTCGCAAAACTTCCAAGGTAACTTTAGGTACAGCTGGACCCAGGGGCTCAAATAAAGTCATTCTTTCTCTCTCTCTTTCTCCCCACCATCAACCCCACCATCTTCTGCTTCATCTTAGCTCTTCTTTGTTTCAATATTGACCTCATTTTAGCCCACAGTAAAGACACTCTTTCCCTATCCCAGGAAATATGGCCAAGGAGACAATTGCAGGCCCACATTGTCTTAGCAAATGAAAGATAGACTCTACATCCATGAGATTTTTAATTTTACAAAAATACTTTGGTTGTTTGTACTCAGACCATGTCTAGTCACCCTGGATGAGAGATTGGTCCATTATTTTGAAGGCCTGGGTCACTTGCTGCTCCTGTAGCCAGAGGCTACACTGTGATTAACAGTCTCACAAGAACCTAATGAAATGGGAGAGAAGCAGGTCCTTCACAGAAAAAGAGGTAGGCACAGACAATAAGAGCAAATATCAACTACATTTCCTCCATGCCTATTAAGCACATATTCATATGCATTTCTGCATTTATAATTCCATAAGTGCCTCCACCTAATGTTTATCCAACTAACGTATAACTAAAATCACACTTACTTCAAAGATAGACAACTCAGAATCACATCCAGTTACCAACCCATCTTCACGTCCGGGATCTCTGGATGATGCACACATTTCTGACATCCACATATGTCTCCTCTTGATCCAAAAACCTGCAGATTAAATGATTAATGTAATAATCACCTATACTTCCATTACACAGTAGAGGAGGAAAAACAGGATACATATCTTCAATTAAAACTAAATTCAGAAAAGGTGGCATCACATATGCCATAGCATACGACATACCCCAAAGAATAACATAGCAAGGATGTACATCTTGGCAGTAGAACCAATCTGACTGCCCCAAGCTTTTCCCTGTGCACAGATGGACCAAATTCATCATTTTTCAAGGCTGTGCTTAAAATAAATGCAGTGCATACATTTTTCTAAAGGTCCTGCCCCTTAGCATCCCTCTTCCACTTGATGTTGTTACAAGGACCTGGAGATTGCCTTAGAAACCTGGCAATCACTAGTTCCTTTTGGATTGTCATTTCTCAATTTAATACTTTTAAACCCCTAGTCATCTACCGATTGTGCCTACTTCTGGAAGTGAAAAGCAGTGTCCTTGATTATAGACCAGACTCTTTTGCATTGCTGTCCCTTAGCAGCAGGTCTTAGCCTTCAGCTAAATGCCTCCTAAATGACTCAGGCTGAGGTATTGAGGCAGAACTAATCATCAGTGCTGTGTCCTAGCTGAACTCACGTTGGTTGACTATTTACTAGAGAATGAACTGTTATCTTCAACACCAGCAAATGCTAAGCAGGATAATTTGAGAAGGGGCTTAAAGGATAAGGTTTAAAGATTTCTTATATTTTTTCTGAGTCCAAATCATATCCCCTACTGTGTCTCCCATCTCTCAACCTGTGCCAATACTAATTTCAGCTTGGGTTTTTGTAGTTCCATGAGGTATATGATTCTCTGACCCACAGAGTCTTAAATTACTGCTCACATCCAAATGGGGAAAAGATATCTCTTAACTAAGTTATATATTATTCCCTTCATGCTTTCAGTGGGACCAATTTATTCTTGGAACTTTTTCTTTTCCTGAAACACATCAAGAAGCAGAAAACATCCTAAAATTTTGATGATTTCTCTAATACTCCAGTCTCAGCAGGTGCATGGTCTGAGTCAAAAGAAACAACAGGTGACCCTTCAGTCAATACATCTCAGAACAGCATAACAAAGATTGTCAACTTTCCTGCCCTTGGGATGGGGGTGTCTCTATCCCCTCCACACTTAGCCTCAACCAAACCCTCATTGTAGAGTCTGCGTCTAGCAATGGCCTGCTCCTAGCATCAATTCTAGGCTTCTTTTTTTCTTCTTTTCAGTTGTAAAGGATAGAAAACCAACCCAATCTATCTTAAGGAAAAAAAACGAAGGAAATTTATTGAATTGTATGACTGGAAAGTCCAAAAGTGAGAATTCAATAACAGCTGGATGAAAGATCTCAAACAATTCACCTGGACCCACTCTCATTTTCTCATTCTGTACTCTCTAGCTCTTTCTCTCTCCATTTCTCAGATCTGCTTGTTTCTGTTTTGTTTGTTTCATTTTATTTATGTTGGCCTCATTCTCTCTCATCATAGATAGATTGTGTTCACATGACAGGAAACATGGCCACTGGCATCCCAACCCTACATCCATACAGTTCACAATCCATACGTGTAATTTAATTCAGGGGCCCATTTCTGGTTCCCTAACACAACCATGTGAGTCAGCTACACAGTAGAGAAGTATAAGTCATTAACACCCAGACTAGGCTATGCAACGGGCTCCCTGTTTCCTGCCATAACATTAAATTCAGGACAGTTCTAGCATCCCAAGGACCACCCAGATTCAGTCCTGACCAGAACAAGCTTGACAGGCCCAATGGCAATTGCTACTTTCTGGAAGCTAAAAGGATGTGGATTTTAGGACAAGAAGAAAGAAAAAGAAAGTGCTGAGATGTATTGATTCCAAAGAAAGAGTTACCCTTCGGTAATTTGCCCAAGTTACAAGAAATTCTCAGAAGTTCATAGAGAGGACCAAAATTAGCCTAGTTCAAGTGAACTCCTGACCAAGAACCAGGCAAGACATAAAGACTATCCCACAAGTATAACCGTCGATATTGAGCTTGTCTAGATACAGCTTCTCAGAAACACTGCCATTTGATATTTCATTTTTCCAAATCCTTCTCTTTCCAGCCTGTCTTTCTTTTAGCTATCCTTTAGCTACCCTTTGTTATTGATTTATTCTTTGACTGTGTTGTATGTGTATGTGGTCTGTAGATGATCAATTCTTGAATTTAGTGAGACTTGTTTTATAGTCTAGTATATGGGCAGTTTTTGTAAATGTTGCATGACATGTGGGAATCCATATATTTCATGAAATAAAACTTCTTAATTGCAAAAAAAAGAGAAAGAAAGAAATGAGTTATGAAGGCCATAAAAACATATGGAAGACCATTAAATGCTTGTTGCAAAATGGAAGAAGCCAGTCTAAAAAAGCAGCATATTGTATGATTCCAACTATATGACATTCTGGAAAAGGCAACTCTATAGGGCAGTGAAAAGATCAGTGGTTACCAGCAGTTTGTGTGGGGGGAAGGAGGGTGAATAGCATAGGAGATTTTTTAGGACAATGAAATTTTTCTGTATGCTACTGTAATTGTGGATACATGACATTATTCATTTGTCAAAACCCACAGAATTGTACAACAGAAAGAGTGAACCCTAATTTAAACTATGGACTTTAATAATAACATGTCAATATTGGCTTATCAATTGTATCAAATAAGCCATATGAATGCAAGTTGTTAACAATAGGGGAAACTGAGGGGGTTATATGGGAACTCTCGGTACTTTTTGCTCACTCTCTTTGTAAACCTAAAACTGTTCTAAAAATAAAGTCTAGCCAGTTTGGCTCAGTGAATAGAGTGTCGGCCCACAAACTGAAGGGTCCCAGGTTCGATTCCGGTCAAGGGCACGTACCTCGGTTTGCAGGCTCAACCCCCAGCACTGCTCAGTGTGCATGCAGGAGGCAACCAATTGATGTGTCTCTCTCACATTGATGCTTCTCTCTCTGTCTCTCCCCCTCCCCTCCACTCTCTCTACAAATCAATGGAAAAGTATCCTCGGGTGAAGAATAACAAAAAAATTAAATAAAAATAAATAAAGTCTAATAATAATTTAAAAAAACCACATCACATAGTTGGCTGAAGGATCTTTTAGTGCCAGAAATAAGGAAGTGCTCAAAAATAATATGTGGGTATGTCAGAAGCACACAGGAGCCAATCTAAAAGAGTTCCCAGTAGCCAAAGTTGGGTTGACTTGTATAACAAATAAATAATGATGGCATAGGGTTATAATCCAAAGAATAAAACAAATATCCACAAGTCCATCTGATATAAATAAACAAATAAGTAAACAAAGAAGGGACAACTCTTCCTTACAGACGAATTCCAATTGATAAATACAGAGGCATGAGGAAAACAGAAAACCACCGGAACACTACAGTAATAACTGCAGCATGAATGCGCAAATTCATGGAAATTTGAAGAAAAATAGGATATTTTCATGGTCTCAAAATACTGTCCACAAAGTTTATTCATTGCAATGGGAAAACAGTAACTGTATGGTGGAGAAACCTGGCAGACACCACCTTAACCAAGTGACCAAGGTTACCGTCACAAGTAATAAAATATATTGAATCATGTATCCACCCAGATGATGCATTGAGAAGGGTACATAGCATCCTTCCCCAAAATGTATAGTCACATCTAATTAGGAGAAAACATCAGGAAAACCCAAGTAGAGGGCCATTCTATAAAATATCTGATCAGACTCTTCAACAGCATCCAAGTCCTGGGAGACAAGGAAAGGCTGAGGTGCTGTGACGTTGGGGAGGACTAAACGCAAGGAGACCATGGCTGGCTCCTGGGCCAGACAAGGGACAGCAGTGGGAAAACTGAGGGAATCTGAATGAAGCCTGCAGTATGCTTAATTGTTTTGTGTAATTTTCATAATTGTATTGTGGTTATGTAAGACATTAGAGGAAATTGAGTGGAAGGCATATGGAAAGTCTCTGTGCTATTTTTGTAACTCTTCTGTAAGTCTAAGCTTATCTCAAAATAAAAAGTTAAAAACAATAGTTGGTGTTGTTCTATGCTGGCTTTTGTTACCAGTGTCTAAACTATTTATGGGGCTGGGAAAATTACTAACTAAAAGTTTTTCTTTCCCCCAAAGACAGAGTTATAGAAACAATATCATCATCTTCATTAATGAGAGATCATTAATTGAGTGAGAATTAACCAAAAAAGGAAGGAAAACACCTTATAGAAAAAGAAAAGGGGGAAATAATGTTAGCATATTCTGCTAAACAAAGTTAATATGTAATTGTAAGCATTTAAGTATTCATACTGTGTAAATGCCTTTTGCAAATGAGATTATAGATTTGCTTGCAAACAGAAAGCATGCTAAATAAAGGTAAGGTGCTATTATTTAAAACAACAACAACAACCAGTGGATGATATTGGCAGCAATCCTTGCAGAAATCTCAGGCTTCCAGGAAGATGCTATCTACAAAGAAACATGCACTGCGCACAGCATCCCCACAGCCAGATGGGAGACAGCAAAGGAGAACTAAACATTCCGCTCTGAGTTCTCCCATGAATTGAAATTGATTGGCTTTGCTGGACAGTAACATGGTGACTTTCAGGATGAATATTCAGGGGACGGAATCCTCAAGCTTCAGATTGCTCAAGTTTCTCTGTGGAACCCGGGCAAACGTAAACAGGGACTTAGCTCAAGTAAGTGACCCTTCAGCGTCTGTGTTGCTCCTGTCCACTCAACTGCCCTCCTCCCTTTTATCCACAGAGCTGACGAAGCACAAGGACCTGGCCGGAGGGGGGGGGAGGCAGGGGGGCGGAGGGGGGAGCGGGGGGAGCAAAGGGGGGCTGAAATCAGTGCGTTTACATCAGTTCTGCAGGACACAGCAAAATCCGAAATGGATTGTGACCTGCTGGTAATCTTTCACAGCGAATCAAGTGATCATTGATTAAAAATAGCTTTGAACATGTATCACACATCTATTTCAGGCCTCGTTTTATTTGGAATGCAAATTCTGCTGGAA